CCACTCACCTCAGCCTCCCAAAGGTGCAGGACTACAGGCTGAGCCACTGAGCCCGGCTGCCGAAGCCTTTTCTTCCCTAAGCTGTACTACTTTGGACAGTGGGGAGCGCTTACCAGTGCACTACCACCAGCAACTCCAAGTGAAGTGTTTACTGATAATGGAATACTGGACACAGGCAGACATTTGCTAGCTACGGAACAACATAGTTAACTAGATCACATTTGACAGGAGAAGCCCATAAAAGGGGCAAACTCATCAAACAGGAGAATCCACCTCTTCCAAGACAGCGCCTTTCTTGCCAACTTTCTTTAAAGATTCATTTTGAAACAAGGGAACTTTCCGGAGACTGACTTTAGCCAAAGACATAAAGAACATGCTCTTACCACTTTCTGCTAGCGCAGCGGCCACTTCATTGAGAGTGGAGTAGATGTTGCAGGCAGCCCACCGGCACTGCGCCCCCAGAGCACCCAGTGTCTCCATCAGCACCTACATTAACCCAAAACAGGGGGTGAACAAATGCCTGGTCCAGGGGGTGGCTTCTATGTTTACAATGAGAGAAGACGTCAGGCATGACTTAGGCCCACGGTTTTCCGACGGCACTCTCGAGAGCGTTGTCAGTATTCCAAGGAGAGGCAAGAGTAGGGGAAGCCATGGGAAGAGGCTTGAGCTGAGTGCTATGCTCTGACCCATCTACCAGATGGGGTCTCCCCCTAAGATTTAATTAAACCCAGGACTTCAGAGTCAAAGCATTTTTTTGTCTTTATTTTTTGATTACAATAGCTTTAGGGTATAAATGGCCTTAGGTTACATGGATGCATTGTGCAGTGGTGAAGAAGTCTGGGCTTTAAGTGGACCCGTCATCCCCACGAGTGCACACTGTACCTGAGAAGTGATTTTTCATCCCTCACCCCCAATACATTTTTAAAAAAACACAGATTTACAGTTCTGCTTCTTCTTAGAATGTAGAAAGCTGCAAGAAAAGCTCTCACCCTAACAAGAAAAAGCTGGATAATCTACAAAGCCAAACTTATCTTGAGCCCATCAAAGAGCTGAGATCATAAAGCAACCAAGTGAACTGAACTCCAAAGAGTGGCAAATCCTTCTAAGGAGAGAGGGGAGCCTTTTACCTGTGCCAGAGCATGGGAAGAAGAGGTAGCTGCCATAGATGAGGATAAGAAAAAATCAGCTACAATTTTAATTAGTAAAGGCTGAGTGTGGGAAAGTGTGTCAGTCTGGAACTTCTGGGAGTCCCTGGCATAAGGAGATTTCCCACTCACATGCAGGCTCTTTTCCAGGGGCTTCTGGCCAGCGCACAAAAGACTGGGGGAGGGAGCTGCCTGGCTGTGCTCAGAAACACACATGAAACCTGGGCACCTCCCTATACTCTCCTCTCATGCTGTAGAAGGAAGAGCAGAAACATACGGTACCTGCCATCACAGACCAGGCCAAGACCCGCTGCTTCTGGCAAAGGGTAGACATAAACACTCTCTGGGGAAAGCCTCTGGGGCCCAGGACAGTTCACGGATACAACGTGAAGATCTGCTACTCTCCAGCTCTCTGGGAGGAGCAGGAAATATCTCCTGCCCAAGACCCACCACAGATGCAAGGCAGAATTGGGCTACTACAGACAGGAGAGGCGGGGACCCCGAGAAAGCCCTGCCTTCAGAGAGGCCAGCCTACGACTGAGGCTGCACCAAGAGATGCCCCAGGTGTCCTACTGTGAGCATCACCCTGGAAGCAAGGAGCAGCTAGTCTAGCACTGCAGGAGGGCAGGTACTTGAAAGAGAGTCCCCTTGCGGCACATATGTGCAGAAGGCCGAAAGCTGATAGTGATGCAGAAACACCAGAAAAGTCCTTTGGTAACCCCAAATCACAAGGCAACAAACAGCAGCTTGCCCCTGGAGGAGTTTGAAGACTTTTTTGGTGTAAAATAGCAAAATCTAAATCCAGTCCAACTCATGACTATCATGGAAATCAATATATAGCCACTTAATTAAAAGAATTTCAAGACACACAAAATTCACCAACCACTATCAAGAAATAATCAATAGAGCCAGACTCTCAGATGAGCCAGATGTCTGATCAGACAGGAATAACTATTATTAGGCCAAGTGTGGTGGTTCATGCTTATAATCCCAGAACTTGGGGAGGCTGGGGTGGGAGGATATCTTGAGGCCAGGAGTTTGAGATCAGTCTGGGCAACAAGTGAGACTGCCTCTAAAGAAAATAATAATAAAAACTTTTAAAACTATGATTAGTATGTTTATATTATTATATTATTTTTACTTTTTTTTTTTTGAGTTGGAGTCTCATTCTGTCGCCCAGACTGGAGTGCAGTGGCACGCTCCCAGTCACCACAGCCTTGACCTGCTGGGTTCCAGTGATCCTTCTGGCTTAGCCTTCCAAGTAGCCGGAACTACAGATGTGCACTACCACGCCTGGCTAATTTTTTGATTTATTGTAGAGATGCGGTCTCGCCAAGTTGTCCAGGTGGGCCTCGAACCCCCGGGCTCAGGCAATTCACTCACCTGGGCCTCCCAAAGCGCTGGGATTACAGGCTGAGCCACTGAGTTCAGCTATTTTTACTTATTTTTTAAGAGATGGAGGTCTTGCTATGTTGCCCAAGCTGGACTAATATGTTTATGTTAAAGATCTAATGAAAAAGATAGACAATATCCATGAACAGATAGGTGAAAGAACAGAAATTTTTAAAAAGCAGTATCAGAGATTAAAAATTCCTTCAACAGGTTTATCATCAGACTGGGCACATCCAAGGATAGAATCAGTGAGCTTGAAGAGAGATCAACAGAAATTACTGAAGTGAAATACAAAAAGAAAAAAAGAATGGCAGAACAAAAATCAGAACAGAGCACTCAAGATCTATGGGACATTATCAAGTGGTCTAATACACGTAACTGGAGTTCTAGAAGGCAAAGAGGGAGAGAACAGGGCAGAAGAAATACATGAAGAGTTAATGGGCAATTATTTTCAAAAATTAATGAGAGGGTCTGGGAACAATGACATTTCAATAGCAAAGAGCACATTATGTCCAGATTCACCAAAAAGAGTCAGGAATCCTTGGAAAAATGGCTAATTTCAAGGTTAGGGCATGGAATGTACAAGATAAGCTTAGACTATCTTGTGACCAGAAACAAAGAAGTATTTGAAGAATAAAAGGGACATGTCAAAAGACAAAGAAGTCTCATGGAAGGGGCTCTCCCTGGCCAAATTAGGGAAAATGTGAGCATCAAAATAAATATAGATAGAAATGGATTATAACCCATTAAATACAGCCTGGGCAACATAGCAAGAACCTATCTCTACAAAAAACTTTAAAAAATAACTGGGCATGGCAGCGTGCACCTGTAGTCCCAGCTACTCAGGAGACTGAGGTGAGAGGATCACTTGAATCCAGGAGTTTGAGGCTGCAGTGAGCTATAATCATGCCGCTGCACTCCAGCCTGGGCAACAAAGAGAGCCCCTGCCTCTAAAACAAAACAAAACAAAACAAAACAAAAACCCAACCATTACCCATGAAATAAAATAGAAAACGATTCCATACAAATAAAAACAAATGAGTAAATCAAAAGTTTGATGAAGAATGGGATACTTACAGTTTCACAGTACTACCTCACAAAAAATATTAATTACAAAAGGAGAAAAATAATTTTTGCAGAGAAAAATCCTGGCAGACATGATCTCAATCAAGAGATAAAAATGAACACTATCAGTCATGAAACAAATTGAAATCATGCACCACAGAATAATGAATCAATGTTACTTGTAGAAAATATATACTAAAAGTATTTGGGAGTTGCTATGATCTGAATGCCACCACCTCCAATCATATGTTGAAACCTACCCCCCAAGGTGATGACATTAAGAGGTGATTACAGAGGTAACTGGGAGATGATGGGCTCTGTACTCGGGAATGGGATTAGGGCTCTTATAAAAGAAGAGGCCCTAGGAAACTTGCTCACCCCTTTGGCCATGTGAGGGCACAGAGAAGACACAAACATCTGCTGGTACCTTGATCTTGGACTTCCCAGCTAGCAGAACTGTGAACAACAAATTGCTACTGTCTATATAAATTAATAAATTACCCAGTCTAAGGTATTTTGTTATAGCAGCTTGAACGGAGTAAGACAAGGAGAAGTCAGGCTGGCAACTTACTCTTAAATGGTTCAGGAAAAAAAGAAGTTATATGTACTGTATTTGTAAATTGTACTAGTTTGTAAATCTGTTTATTTCAATTTTTAAAATTATTATAATATCTTAAGCCATTTATTTGATCCTGACTTACTTTTACTTCTATGTATAAGATGGAGATAGGATTCTTTTAAAGAAGGCAGTGTATCATTCTACTGCTTTAATTAAGAGATATTTTCAAACAATAAAGCTCTGGTTAAAAAGCTTGCTTTGGCCATGCATGGCAGCTCATGCCTGTAATTTCAGCACTTTGGAAGGCTGAGGTAGAAGGACTGCTTGAATCCAAGAGTTTGAGACTAGCCTAGGCAATATAGTAAGACCTCAACACTACAAAAATTATACAAAGCCAGGTGTGGTGGGACACACCTGTAGTCCCAGCTACTCAAGGCTGAGGTGGGAGGATCACCTGAACCCAGGAATTAGAGGCTGCAGTGAGCTGTGATTGTGCCACTGCACTCTGGCCTAGGTAACAGGCTTCAAAAAAAAGATTTCCTAACAGTGGTTATTAACTCTGGGTACCAGTAATTTCCATTTAAAAATTTTTGCATGTTATAATATCTCTATATTAAATAAAAAATCTAATGAAAAGAATGTTCTAATTTTTAAAAATATTTGCAAGGGTGGGTGCAGTGGCTCAAGCCTGTAATCTCAGTACTTTGAGAGGCCGAGGTGAAAGGATTGCCTGAGCCTGGGGGTTCAAGACCAGCCTGGGCAACTTGGTGAGACCTCGTCTCTACAATAAATAAGAAAAAAATAAGCTGGGTGAGGTAGTGCGCACCTGTAGTTCTAGCTACTTGGAAGGCTGAGGCAGAAGAATCGCCTGAGCCCAGCAGGTTGACAGTGGGGTGGCCATGAGTGTGTCACTGCATTCCAGCCTGGGCGACACAGTGAGACTCTGACTAAAAAAAGGGAAAAAGAAAAAGAAAAGAAAAGAAAAGTGACTGGAACCAGGAACAAAGAACTGTGAGTCAACACTTGTCACTAGTAGGGCTCAAAACAGGAGTGAAGGAAGGCAGGAGTGGGAGGACAGAGCTCGAAAGCCGATTCCACCTAACTCCAAATCATGATGGTTTGGAAGGAGCAGCAGTGGGATCAGGTTGGAGATACAGAAACATACCTGAAACATATTAACAGGAATATGGACAGGAAACCATGAACTATTATGGTGATTTCTGGAGCACGGGGCTATAGGAGACTTTACTTTTCTATATCACATATTGTGGTAATATTAGAATATTATAAAATGAAAATAAACTAGTTTTATACTAAAAAATAGAGATTAAAAACCAAACAAGGCAAAATTCCTTTGTAGTTATTACATTAAAGGAAAAAATGTAGGATGGAAACAATAAAAAAACACGAAAATTGGTAAACTAACTGTGATGAATCCATTCAGGAGAAAATAGAAGAGAAACCCCGGAGGGCGGTGACGTTCAGTGAGCCTCGGGTTAAAAACTCAGCAACTTGAGACAGGAGAGCAGTCCTTGCTATTTTAAGCTAGCACACTGAAGCCTCATGCCACTGACTGAGGAGGCCCAGAAGGTTCAGGGACGCTTCGCTTCGATTCATTAGTCTGAACCTCCAGAAAGAGAGAGCTTTTCAATTTATTAACTTTGGGCAGTCAGTCAAGGTACTCTTGTCCTCAGAGAACACATAACCTAGAAAAGTCCCACAGTGAAGATGCTCACAGGAGCTGTCTATACCTTGAAGAGTCGCTAATGTTCTTAATCAGGAACGTGACCACGTAAGTGCTCTGTTTCGGGAGAGACAACCTTGGGAAAGTTGATCTGGCCACACAGATGACCCAGATCTTATGAAGATTACAGGCAATTTCTCATAAAAAGATTACAGGCAATTTCTCATGTCAACTTCCCTGCAGTGGTCTCATTAGGGTTGGCAACTCAATATCTATTACATCTCTGGTGATGACTCAAAAAGGGGACATTTAGAAAACTGTGGCATCATTCTGGTTGTCAAATAATTGAAGGGAGTGCTGCTGACATTCAGTGAGCAGGACCAGGGATCTGGACATTCTGAAAGTGCAAGACAGTCTCTTACAACAAAAAAGTGTGCCACAGCTGGTATTATTTTTTCAAATGTCCCAAGGAAATTTCACATGGGTGAAAAACCTATTCATAATTATGTGAGTTTGGAATCTAATTTCATTTTGTGTATTAACAAAAAGAACTCTTATAGTTTTAATACAAAATAATAGTTTTTCCAGGGATGCAATAATGTAAATTAAAAAAAAAAAACTCATACTTTTTGTTGCTGTTGCTCAGAAGTTTACAAAAAGTTGTTTACTATTTCAGAAAATCATATAATTAGGTAATGATACTCTGGAGCCAGTAACACATTTCTCCCTATCTGCATCTGTAGTACTCTCATTCAAATATTGCTATGAATAAGTATACATATTTGACTATTCTACTAGTATCTACATATTGAAATATACATTTATTTATTTGAGTGTGGAGGTGGTGGTGTCACTTCGTTGACTAGGCTGGAGTGCAGTGGCATGGTCACAGTTCACTGGAGCCTCGACCCCCTGGGCTCAGGTTATCCTTCCACCTCAGTATCCCGAGTAGCTGAGATTACAGGTGTGTGCCACTATGCCCAGCTAGTTTTTTGATTTTTTTTGTAGAGATGAGGTCTCACTATGTTGCCCAGGTTGGTCTTGAACTCCTGGGCTCAAGCAATGTGCCTGCCCTGGCCTCCAAAGTACTGGATTACACTGTGAGACATAGCACCCAGACCCTGAAATATACATTATTTGATTATAATTACCTTCCTTTTATTCTTATTTCATATATCAGTTAATATTATATATATATATATATATATATATTTTTTTTTTTTTTTTGAGTTGGAGTCTCACTCTGTCGCCCAGACTGGAGTGCAGTGGCCGCTCCCGGCCACCGCAGCCTCGACCTGCTGGGCTCCGGCGATCCTTCCGCCTCAGCCTTCCGAGTAGCCGGAATTACAGGCACGCGCTACCACGCCTGGCTGATGTTTTGACTTATTGTAGAGATGAGGTCTCGCTGCCGAGGTGGGTCTCGAACCTGCGGGCTCAGGCAATCCACTCACCTCAGCCTCCCAAAGGCGCGGGATTACAGGCTGAGCCACCGAGCCCAGCTTATATTGTTTTTTAAACAAAATTATATGTTCCTAGATATGTTATATCTGAATTTTATTTCGGGATACTGCAATTAAAAAAAAATTTTTATAAAAAAGGGTCAAGTCTGACGATGATAGGAAACACCGGTCTACGCCAGTCCTGGTAATTCCAGTGCCCTCGCCAGGGTTGGTGGAGCACAGGGATGTCATCCAGTTCTGCTCAAAGGACACGACGCAGTGCCCTAGAGGACTTGGAAAGGGTTCTCGGCTCTTGAGAAAGAGGGAGAAATGGTCCTTCTTCCTTTTCATGCCAGTTTGTGATGACCAGAACAGCTGTAGCCATCCCACTATCAGCTTGAGAGTGAAGCAAGCACACTAAGGAGGCAGCCCAGGGGAATCACAGCAGGGGAACTGGAGCCCTCAGATTCTGTATTTGAAGCCCTCCTTTTGGCTTTCTGCTAAGAAATGAAATAAGTTCCTTTATAAGCAGGACAGATGGAATCGGGCTTTCTCTTGTTTACAGTGGAAGGCAGCCTAACAATGAGGCTGCCTCAAGGAATGACATGGAAGGGAAGGGAAGCAGTAGGGGAAAGCCACAAAGCAAGAGACAGGAGTCCCCCTTATCCAAAGTCTCGCTTCCCACAGTCACTCTCAGTCTGAAAAGAAGGGAGTACAGTGCAGTATTTTGAGAGAGAGGCCACATTCATATAACTTTTATTACAGTCTGTTGTTACCACTGTTCTATTTTACTATCGGTTATTGCTGTTACTCTTACTGGGCCTGATTTATCGTCATCCCTTGGAATCTGCAGGGGGCTGGTTCCAGAACTGCCTTGGACACCAAAACCTGAGGCTGCACATGTCCCTGCCATAAAATGGCCTAGTATTTGCATATAACCCGTGCACATCCTCCTTTATACTTGAGGCCATCTCTAGTATATTTATAATACCTAATACAATGTAAATGCTATATAAATAGTTGTTACACCATATTTTTTCAATCTTTTTTTTTTTGAGACAGGGTCTCATTCTGTCACCCACAATGGAGTGCAGTGGCAAGATCACAGCTCACAGCAACCTTGAACTCTGGGACTCTAGCGATCCTTCCACTGTAGTCTCCAGAGTAGCTAGGACTGCAGGTGTGCACCACCACACTTGGCTAATTTTTAAATTTTTTGCAGAGATGGGGGTCTCACTATGTTGTCCAGGCTGATCTCATCTGAATTATTTTTTTACTGTTATATTATTATTATTTTTCCAAATATTTTCAATTTTCAGTCGGTTGACCCTTCAGGTGCAGAACCTGTGCATATGGAGGGAAGGTCAATTGTGTAAATTCAACTTGATCATAGGTACACATATACAGAAAAAACATAGTACACCCAGGTTTGGTACTGTCTGAGGTTTCAGGGATCCACTGGGGGTGGGCGCAGGGCTATACGTATTGAAGTTAAAATCTTGATCTTGATTCTGTGATTTACCAGCTGTATAATCGTAAACAAACTTCATCAACCCTCTGAGCCTCAGCTTCCTCGCTTACAAAATGGAAACAGGAACACCTGCTTTACATAGCCATTATGAGGATTAATGAACTAATACTTGTTAAGCTCTTAATTCGTGCTTGGCATGTTGTATGCGTTCAGTAGCTGGTGGCTATTATTAACTATTGTTATTAGGAAAAGAAAGGAAAAGGACTCACAGCAGTCTGAGCAGTGATGTGTGTGCAGCCCACGATCTTGGCTCCAGCCAGCGGCTTTTCTCCTTGCGCTCTCTTCCTCAAAGCCATCAGTGCAGGCATTTCTGAAAAGGCCCAATACACAAACAGCAATATTAAAGAGGAGAGAATAAGCGATAAAAGGAGTAAACAGGAAAACCTGTCCTCTTCAACTAGGATTTTTCTCCTGGTTAGGTTAGATTAAGACTAGATTTCTCAAACATTAAGACATGAAGCCCTTTCATAGGGGCTTTCAGAGGCAAACGTTCCAGGGGTTTTCCCTGTATTCCAGTCCTCATTGTCCAGTCTCTTTCCCTCTTCATGGTATGAAGCTTTCTTTTAGACTCGCCAGAGTTCACTCCCTCCCCACAGTGTTTCCTAAACTCACACTTGTTTTAAGTATTCTTCAATGCCACACAGAAATTTCACAGGCTACCAGACTCTAAGACAAAAAGAGATTAACATGGACAAGAACACACGGGAAGGCTGGGAGGGAAAAGGGACTTGCTTTCTTTACCTTGCTCAGCAATTTCAATCTCTCTTCGTCCAAACTCTGCCTGTTTGATGTTCTTGACACAGAAGTCACTGCTGCCCTTGGAGTTCTTTTGCTGCTTGTCCCTGGGGGATGTCTCATCATCAGAGCTATCTGTATATGAAGCCGCTGGAATGACAGAATAAAAAACCTTCAGGGGCAAAATGGCTTTCTCTGAAATTCCAAACCACAGAGTGAACTGTGGCTTTCTTAGCCATCCAGCAACACACAGACCGACACCTGTGGTAAGCGCCTAACTGGTACCATGGAGCTGTCTCAATCATCTCCTATGGAAAGTGTTTCCTACAGGTCAGAAAGGGAAGCTGAGAGAGGTTGCTAAAGACATTCTCCCTGGATAACACCAACTTGAACTAGGGCTAACTTTATCTTCAGAACATGCAGAGTTCCTTGAATATGCAAAAAAAGGAAGGGTCACACCATGGGAGCATTAGGTTAGAATTTCTAAGGCAAGATCAGGGCCGTAAACTTATGGGTTTTTGGGATTTCAGCTATTCTGCTCTGTCTGCTGCTTAAATGTCTGATATAATTTGTGGTTTAGTACAATAACTGGACAGATAAGACCTAGAAAACCCATGGGAAAGTAATTAAGAACCAGACAAAAAAATGTTTGTCTGCTGTAACAGAGCTTTCTTTTCTCAGACTGGCTGTGATGGGGCTGAGCCATGCCTGCAGACGCAATTAGACATTGACAATGAAGCATTATTCAATGTGCTCTCTTTTCTTGCTGGCCTCAGTGGGCCCTGCATTAGGCGTTTTAGATTCCCAAAGAAGTAAATAAATCTTCTTGGTACAATCAAATGCTCCGATAACTAATCCATTTAGCAACATACACTAGAGGGTGGACGGTCTACAACTATGATTGTGCCTACAGGCAGCTGCTGCGACGGCTGTTCACATACTTGGCTGAGGTCTGTTTAGACTTCATACAGTTCTGTAGTTGCTAATTATTTGCAAGATGATTTGAAGCAATTTCCTTCCTTGATTTATGTTTAAGTTTCTGAAGACAGTTCCTCCTAACCCCCACAAATTTTGGGGGGTGTAGGGGAGGGGTAAAAAGCACTGTCTAGAAAGCATTTTCTATCTCTCAGTGGAACCAGACAAGAGACATCATGTTTAAGGGGAGTAGCTGCAAAAGCTCAGCGTGCCTGCAGTCTGTGATACGTTGGTCTTCTTTATCCAGAGAATTAAGGCATTTCTGAGATTTCTTAGCAAAGAGTCTATCTCTGGGAGGGCTGCAAAAGGCAAGTCTGACCTTGCCCAGTTAATCAGGCATGGCACTACGAAGTGTTTGGCCAGCAGGGGCCTGAGAATCTCCCTTGGGGCTGGAAAACTGCCCTAGAGCAAAGTCCTAACACGAGGCAACAGGAATGAACATGGGCACCAGGGGAGGTGAGAGAATTAGTAAATCCCCAAAGGGACTTTTGTTCTTGAAAGGAGCTAATCTGTACAGAAAGTCTGTGGTTCCGCCTCCTAGGGTGAGTGAGAGCTCAAAGTACTTTTGGCAACAGAGCCCAGAAACAGCTTTTGGGCAGTCATCTGTTTCACTAATCAATATTCAGAAATAGCTTCTGAGTTAAATGCTTAGGGAAACTATTCTTCTGCCACCTGAGAGAGAGAAAGAAAATAGGCATTCCTAATTCTGATCCAAATGTATAGGAAAATTGCTTTTGAAGAAAGTGTTTACATTCAAAATATCTTCAAAATGCAAATCCTTTCCCAGAACCATGATAATTTTTATGCTCCCCAATGGCCATTTAAATACAGTGGTCATATGTTCTGGAGACAGATTTTGATTGAAGTCTCAGTCTCTGTTTCTGGGTGTATAAAGTGGAGGTGACACCAGAATCTATTTAATAGAGTTGTTAGCTTATTTGTATATTCAGTAAGTCAAACATTCAGCTGTTCATTCAAATTTTAATTATAAATCTACTATGTATTAGACTTGTCTAGGTACTGGGAATCTGAACAGATTTCTAGGGTAGAGATGGTCCTTACCTTCATGGAGTTTTCAGTCTAGCAGGTGAGTCAGACATGAAATAATGAATTACTAAATTATTTAGAGGATTTTTTTCAGTATAGCTGTACTGTGTGCTATGAAACAGTAATCAGGATGCATAAAACTATGTAATAGGAGGGCATGACTTGCTGGAGTCAAGTTGTTGAGAAGATTAATAAGTAAGATGATATAAGTAAAGTGCTTAGTGTAATGCTTGGCTACAGTAACTAAGCACTCAAGAAATAATACCTGACATTAGCCATGTTTGCACATTTTAAAATTCAGAACCAGCTATAACAACTGTAGAAGTTCTTATTCAGCTTTAGGATTTTGAATGGGAAAGGAATGACAAATAGACATCACTATTTAGCAGAGTCCTAACTCCACCCAGAAGAGTTCTCCCCTCCCATGCCTCTTCAGTTTCTAAGGATGAAAAAAGTTTAAACAATTTCCTCTTAAAAGAAACATTCCAATATTTGGCTTGAGTTGTTCCCCCCCAACTCCAAAGGGGAAAAAAATTGTTTATACCATTTTTTTCTTAACAGTAGTCAACTGGTTACAGTTAACTCGACCAATATTTTTCTTTCAGCCAAAATGGATTTATTTCCAAAGAGTCCTTTATAGAGACCCGTTCTCAGGTAAGAACCAAAGATGTCAGTTGTCGAGGGTGCAATATGGCGGTCAGACTCAGAACAAGAGAACGTATAACTTCTGCAAACACAGGGGAAAGGCTATTCCTGAACTAATGTGACATTTATTCATTTATTTTTTGAGTCTATACTCATTTCTGTTCTATATTTAAAGTAGCAAATGCATGAAAACAGTTGTGATAATATAAGGATATATCCCAGGAAAATCTAGAGAAACCCAACATATATGACGTACACACATGCTTGAATAGAATAATTGCAATTGTCGGTATATTCTGAAGTCCAGAGTCATAATTAATTGAAAACAACCAGTAACCTACTAAAGTACAGATCTGAGATCCTAGATCTAGCTTCACCCCGATTGGTTACGTGATGAATTTTCAATTTATCCTACTATAAAACAGGGAGTGTAACAGATTCCCTTTCTTCCCATGCTCTCCCCTTCCTCTAATTACCACCAGAATAATCTTAGGAATAAATGAGATAATATCCAAAAAGGATTGTTTCTAGGTAGAAAGTACAATACTGGTCACACCTGAAATGAAATACAATACTGGTCACACCTGAAATCTCACTTTGGGAGTCCAAGACAAGAGAATAAGTCTATGCGTTCCAGACCACCCTGGATAACACAGTGAGATCTCGTCTCAATCAATCAATCAATCAGAAGTACAATATAGGATGGGTGCGCCTATAATCCCAGCACTCTGGGAGGCAGAGGTGAGAGGATTGCCTGAGCCCAGGGGTTCGAGACCAGCCCAGACAACTTAGTGAGACCTCATCTCTACAATAAATCCAAAAATTAGCCAGGTGTGGTGGCACATGTCTGTAGTTCCAGCTACTTGGAAGGCTGAGTTGGAAGGATGGCCTGAGCCCAGCAGGTTGAGGCTGCGGTGGCCAGGAGCATGCCACCGTCCTCCTGCCTGGGCGACAGAGCGAGACTCCAACTCAGGAAATAAAAAAAAAAAAAAAAAAGAAGTACAATATAGCTTTCCTATGGGATGTTCTCTTGTTTTATGATTTTCCAGAATCAAAATATAACTTGATAAATCACTAACCCACAATCTATCCCAGAGAACATGACACATGAGTTCTATGGCTCAAGCCTGAATAAGCCTTACCTTTCAGCAGCTGTGATACTGTGGGCTAGTGCTAGGAGAAGCAGCAGTCAGAATCCTGATTAAACTAGTCCTATTAAACTATTTAAGTCTGGTAGTTCCTCTTGGGCATAATGGAAATAACAGTAGGGACCTGCATGTCAGTGTGCAGCAAAATTCACTGATAAATAACACTCTAGGAATATATTTTTTAAAAAAAGCTATGTTAGCATCACAAATACAAACAAACAAAACTTTGTTGTTTGGAAAAATCTTAAAATGCCACAAACATTATAAGAAATAATCATTTAATAAGAACTGTAGAGTCTGGAGGAAAAAAGAGCCAATATGAAGGGACATCTGTCTTCTCTCCTCATTCTTAACCAAGTAACTCACTGCAAAGACGCTTTTTCAGAAATCTATTACTGAGAATGGTCTGATTTTGGAAAAAAGTCTCATCTGTTCATTTATTTTTATGAGGTTTTTTCTTGGGAAAGAGCTTTTAGAAGTTTGTTTCTTATAAAATAATTTCATGGATTAATGCAGCATTTTCAACCTGGGTGCTGCTAGAATTATGTCCTAAGACCTTGAAGAATCCATTATACAAAATGCAGTAACTTCTCTCCCACGCATCTAAAAAGGTACTAGTTATGGATCATCTTCTGGAGAATTAAAAAAGCAGCCTCTTAAGTCATTTTCTGTGCTTTGTGACTCAGATAAGGAACTCTGATTGAGAAGGGCTGGTAGGTTTTTAAATGAAAGTCTAGCAAAACCTACTCCCGGGATCATCAGGAAGGGAGAGTAAGCCACAGCCTATTTAAGCCTCTAAGTATCTTTAGCAAAACTAAAACTTTGGATAGGAAAGTATATTTGTTTGAAATGTCATAAACCTTCTTCCGGCTGTTCATATACATTGAGTATGCCAGAGACCTCAGCAAAGGTATAAAGTATAATAAGTACATCTCTGAACACTTTTTGCCAAAATTTATTTATTGAGTACTTCCTATGTGTCAAATACAGTTCTAAGTGCCGGAACAGAGCAATATAAAACAGACAAATATCTCTGTTCTCATGGACCTTGCATTTAAGTAAGAAGAGAAAGACCCGTGGGTTCGAGACCCGCCTGGGCAGCGAGACCTCATCTGTACAATAAATCAAAAAATCAGCCAGGCGTGGTAGCACATGCCTGTAATTCCGGCTACTCGGAAGGCTGAGGCAGAAGGATCACCAGAGCCCAGCAGGCGAGACTGCAGTGACTTGGGAGCGGCCACCGCACTCCAGTCTGGGCGACCGAGTGAGACTCCAACTCAAAAAAAAAAGAAGAGAAAGACAAAAACATATTATAATATACATAGTACCTCATAT